TTAGTTGTCAAACTGATATCTGTGCTTTGGAACACCTTTAAGAGGTCTTGAACGCAATATGTCATTTAATTTCTTGACTGCTGATTCAGTGAGTGTTGATGGATGATACAAGCAAAATGAAGTCTTTGGATATTGTTTATTGGTCTAGTGGTGAAGATTTTTGTCTTCTTTGCACTGAGGTGCAACCCATACTGAAGGCTGTGGTCTTTGATTTACATCAGTAAGTATTTTAAGTCCTCTTCACTCTCAGCAAGCAAGGTTATATTATCTGCATGTCACAGGTTGTTAATGAGCCTTCCTCTGATCCTGATGCCACATTTTTCTTCCTATAGTGCAGCTTCTCGGATTATTTACTCAGCATACAGATTTATAGATTGAATAAGTATGGTGAAAGAATACAACCTTGGTGTACACCTTTGGTAATATGGTACTTTACTTGTTAATCATCTGTCTCCCAGACCAGAACCAAACTCTGTAAGAACAGGGACCTTGTGTGTCATGTTTACCACCACATCCTTTGCTTAGCACACTGGCACATGCTGTTGTTATGTGCCATCGAGTTGGTTTCTACTCACAGAAACCTTTTGTACAGCAGAACTAAACTGTGCCATGCTCACATTGTTAGGTTCTAGTCCTTTGTTGTAGACACTGTGTTAATTCATCTCATTCAGGATCATCCTCATTTTCACCCCATATTAAGCATGATCTTCTTTAGGGACTGGCCCCTCCTAATAACATGTCCAAATTACCTGAGATCAAGTTTCACCATCCTCACGTCTAAGGAGCAGTTTGGCTGTACTTCTTCTAAGACAGATTTGCTCATTCCTCTGGCGTCCATGGTTTATTTGATAATTATTGTTTGATATTGTGATCCATATGTATAGGTATACATGCTTATATAATTACTAATAGAAAATAGACCAGAAAGGTATTCTATAAATGAATAACTTCAGTTACAATTTTTCCCCCTCATTCTGCCTCCATTTCTGATTTCCTTTAGTCACTTGTGTTGCTTTTAGGATATTATAAATGATACAGCTTAATAGGAAAACGATAAATCTCATGGGGAAATCTTGGCATTAAAGTAACAGTTTATCTGCAGAACAGATGAATGTTTTAGCTCTTTTCTTATCTTTTGGGTTTAGTCAATAAGAAAAAGGTGACTATGGGAATGGGACAGAAACAAAGGTAGTCCTGAATGAGGACTTCCAGGGGTCATTATTTCAGTGACCTCTCATTCTACCTGAATACTTCCAAAAGAAAGGCAAGTTTAGTTAGTGCTTTACAACATTAACCCAGACATTTGATTAAGTTGCTTTGGCTTTAGACTAAAGAAAGCTTGTAGCCAGGCCAAATCTTTTTAACTCTGAGGTTGGACAGATTAGCAAACTATCTGGAACTCTTCTTTTGGTTTCCCCCAGTGGTCAAGGACCTTGATGTAGCTTAGATAGTTATCCCTCAGAATTTGCATGGGAAGTCTTCATAGACCTCTTGCTGAGAGCCCTAGAAGAGAGATAAAATAGGAGGTGTGATTGTTATCACCTGTTCCACTGTGAACTGTAGGTGTCTGGGTATTCTGAGGTTTGTCAAAGTCACACTTCACTTCTCACAATTTATACTCATCCAGAACTTCAGTAATGTTTACAATGAATCCTTCGTCTTAGAGGTGGTTGTTGTACCTTACCTGGCAAATTACTTAGAAAGTTAACAGAAATGTTTAATATCCCTAAGAGGACTTCTGTGAACTAAAATGACTAATGAGGCATCTTTGGGACCTTGATCTGGCTCTCAGTAGTTGTGGGCCACCTGGTTCAGATATGTGATTCTTTCCATTGCAATCTGTAGGTGATTCCATTCTTAGGAATGTCACTGAAAAGTATTGTGGGGGTCATTGAGGACTTGTTTTATTTTGTAGTTTTTAAACAAGATAACTCTGAAGTGTTACTTTTCTCTCAAAAAGAAAATGGTTATTCCACGGTTCAGTTTTTTTAAAGTTAACATTTAAAATAATACTTTCTAATCTATGAATTCCCAAATTATTACATAGTAAGACACACTTTTAGATTTAATGATAACTTTTTTAAGGTATTCTTTGTATTTCTTCATTAATTTGATTTAAAATAGTTTGAATCACTAAACAGAAAATTCATACGTGATTATAGTAGAACATTAGAAAACTATAAAAAGGTATAAAGAGGAAAATGTAATTATTCATCATACAAAGTAATTGTCTAATATTCTGGACATAACCTTCTAAGCAGTAGCAGCTAACAATGATGATGTATTAAGTTAGGAAGTATATAAATTTCAGCTCCACATACACATCTGCCACACTGAACTTGAATTTAAATGTGAATCAAAAGCCTCGGACTCACTTTTGTAAGACAAGCTGATAGGAACCACTACATTTGTATGTGATCATGATATAAGAAACTTGAGAATCAAATTAAATGATTTGATTTCACATCATAGGAAAAATACTAAAACCACTCCAAATGGCTACTTTTGTCTGTGACTCAACCTCCTTTATGATACTCAAAGTGAATTAAAATACATTTCAAAGGTATGCTTACTAACACTGATTTTGGTTGGTAGGACAAGGACTGGTGAAGGACACATTGCCCTGTTGTTGTTGGGAAGTGCTGTTGAGTCGGTTCCGACCCATAGCCACCCTATATAGGGTTTCCAAGAGCTTGAACCGCCAACCATGCAGTTCAAACGACTTTGCAGTTTGGCGCATTAACGCACAGCGCCACACCAGAAAATAAACCTCTAGGACCCTCCCCACTGCTTCCTATCATGATTTCAAAAGCCATGAAAAACACTTTTACATGATCTGGACAATACAAGGATTATTCTTCCTAATGCTTTGGATGGACTTCTGGTGTGGCACTGTAGGATCAGCACTGGACTTTGAATCACAAAGTCAGCAGTTCAAACCCACCAGTTGCTCCTTGGAAACCCTATATAGGGTCACTGTGAGTCAAAATTGAGTCTACTTGACCGCACTTACAAAAATACTTCAAATATTTTTTCAGCAAAACTTTTTTTTTTTTTTAATTGATTGTATGTTTGGTTTTTATCAAGAAATTGGACTAGATAGTTGTTTTAGGAATTGATTCCAAGGGGGAAAAGTTCTTATAATAGGTAGGTGCCTCAGAGAATTGGAGCAAATCCCGTCTTACCTCCATTCCATAGTATGAGCTCAAATCATGCCTTTTTATCAGCCATGTGATGTCACGTAATCTGATTGAGTGGAAAGTCGATGTTGCAATTATTCCATGTGGTGCCGCGCGCTTGCCAGCCCACCTGCTGTGTCAGTAAACACTGGAATCATCATGGCAAATACCTTTATTTGCTTTTCCCTGCAATGTGCTGTCCCGTTTTACCTCCTGCAGATAAAACAGACAGGGCCTTTTCCTGCTAGCCAAAAACAGTGATGGGAACCAGGTGGAAGATGTGGCTTGTAAAATGTAGTTTTAATTCACTTTGAGTCCCGTAAATTAGGTTGAGTCACAGCGATCTGTGGGCCTCTCCAAATCACTCTCTCAGTGCAATATGGTGATATCGCTGGTGGAGTAAGAAAAGCAGCTTGCTTGAGAGGAGCTTGGCTCAGAGCTGCTAAGGCTGCCGGACTCCATCACCAGAGTCCCTCTTCTCTTTTTACCTCCTTCTTCAAATTCATATTTTCTCTATATACAAGAATATCATTAGCCAGTTTTACTGTACCCACTTAGGTTATGGAGTTCTGGCATGGCACTGGACTGCTAACTGCAAGGTCAGCAATTCAAACCCACCAGCTGCTCCTTGGAAACCCTATACAGGGTTGAAGCCTACTCAACAGCACTTAGAAACACCACCACCAACAACAACAACAACAGTTATAGATAGTGAAAGCCTGGTTTCAAAACTCTTCATTAGACTGCAATTCAGTTTAGTTTTGGGATTGATGAAAGCCTGCATAAATGTCTCAGTTTCTGAAATTGGATAGTTTGAATGAAAACCACTGTAATCTTCAAGATGATAATTGACCTTTCTTTTGTGTACCATCCTTCCCAAATATCTTCTTTTTCTCTCTTTTTTTAAATTGTTATCAAAATTGAAGTCAAGTAATTTGGCAGATAGGGTTAAGAGAAGTGGTTTAACCCTTTGCTTCTGATTAGCTATGTTGTTAGAGCAGTTTTAGATTTGTGATCAAAGAAACCGAGGCCACTCGAAGAAAGCAAGCAGAATTTCAGATTTTATTAAGCCGGCTGACTCAGACGAGCTAATTTCTCCAGATTCTGAGCCTCGAATGGAAAGCAACACGGGCTTATATGGGGCCAGAGACCAGGGAGGGCCAGGCTGCATACCTGTTTGAGGGCAGGGGGGAAACCAGGAGGATTGGTCCCATTTGGTGACCTGATTAGCATTTTAGCTTGCCTCCTGGGCTGGAGAGGGCAGTGACCTTTTCCTGTTCATTGTGGCCACTGAATTTTTCTTCACATTATCTTTGTATTTTCTCCAAGATGTTGCCTGAGTTTCTGTGAACCAGTTACAGAAATTCAAAACCCCATCCATAAAAAGCTGGGCCAGCGCTCCCTCTTTTCTTCTGGGCTTCAGAGAAGAACAGCTTCTGATCCCATTTACAATCTTCTCCATACTTCGAAGTCACTTAGAAAACCCTCTCCCAAAATTTGACTCCCCAGATGATCCTGAAGTGTAGCCAGGAAAGAACAACTGGCTACACTTTGCTCTTAGTCACACCTTTTCATCCTTAAATCAAGGTTATTTTTACCCTTCAAAAATAACTGCATTTATAATTTCTTCATCACAGAAGTTCGGGTCCAGTCCTTTTCTCTTTGTCTGGCTGTTCTGCACTGATTCAGTGCTCATTGCGATCTTGTTAATTTTTTTCTATTGTCACTATCTAACCACACTTGACCAGGGACAAATAAAAAAGGACTACAAGAAAGAGGTGCAAGGTACCACTGGTTGACTTGAAAGTGTTAACAGTCAAGTCTTTCTCTGGAGCAGTGGTTCTCAAATCTCAGTCCTGGGATGAAGATCACCAATTCCTGAAACCTTGTTAGAAATGCAATTCTCGGACTTCACCACCCATTCCCACCTCAACCCTCAGAAACTCTGGACCCAGCAGTCTGTGCTTGAAGATCCCTTCCAGGTGATTTTGACACATGTTAATGTTTGAGAACACTTCTAAATAGATTTCATATTTTCAAACAGTCAAATTTTGTTTTTTAGTGGACCCAAATATTTTTGAAGTAATCAAAATAGAAGCGATGTTATCATTTTAAGGAGTCCCTGGGTAGTATAGTTAACATGCTCACCACAAGGTTGGAGGTTGGAGTCTACCCACAGGTTCCTAAGAAGAAAGATCTGGTGTTGGGTTTCAGGCCCAGAAGGAAAAGGCTGTCTGAGTACATAGGTGCTGAGTGTCCAAAGAAACAGCCAGGACTCAATCTGAGGGACATTAGTTTACTACAAAAAAGAAATGGTGTATCAATGAGGGAATTTACCTGCAAAGGGTGAAACACAGGTATGTCCAGTGGCGGCTGGCTGGATAGTGAAGTTTTTCTGTGCGAGAGGCAGGGGCTAGGATCTTTTTCTGTCACCAGGTATAGGAGCTTTACAAGTGTAAGGGCAGTTAGGGAAGCTATATGGAACTGGGAGGAGAAGTGGGAAAATCACAAGTTGCTTGCCTGTCAGTCCCCTCCTAGAGAATAAAGAGTTTTGGCAAGCATAGTGGGAGGAGGGGGCTGGCTGGCGCCTCCTTCTAACTTATGCATAACTAAAGCTGGAGAATGAGAAGTTTTGGTATACACAGCTAGAGAAGTCCCAGAAGGGATAGGAGATATGGTTTGATTTGATGTGATCATTTTGGCACATTCAGTTTATGTCCCCACACCTGGTGATTTGAAACATTGACCACCTGACAACCGTATGCAATATAGTGCTTCTCCGACACACGTGAGGTCACTAACAGTCAAAGCTGATTTGATGACAGCTGGTTTTGGATTGTTTTTAAAGGGGAAATTTCCCAGTCTTACCTTTTTATCCTTTGTTATTGTTAAGTGTTGTCGACTAGGTGCTGACTCATAGCGACCCTGTATAGAGTTTCCAAGGAGCAACTAGTGGATTTGGACTGTGACCTTGTGGTTCATACCGTCCTTGGGGTTCAGTGCTTATCCAACCACGCCTACACACTAGGATTTCCTTGAGAAGTTCTCATATTATTTCCAGTTCTGAGAAGACCTACCCACATCTCTGCCTGTTTTCACTACCACTTGTCTGTCAGTTTGTCATACTGTGGTAGCTTGTGTGTTGCCAACTGTATTTTAAATACCAGCAGGTTTCAGCTGAGCTTCCAGACAAAGACAGACTAGGAAGAAGGAGAAGGGGACTACTTATAAATGTTTAGCCACTGAAAACCTTTTGAATAGCAGTGGAACACTGTCATATCTGAATAGTGAATACTGAAGCATGATAAATAGCACCAGAATATTTTCAGATATAGTGCGAAAAGATGAACCCCTCAGGTTGGAAGGCATTCAGGAATGGGCTCAAGTGTAACAATGATTTTGATGTGGGTGCAGAACCAGGCAGTGTTTCATTCTGTTGTCCATGAGTCAGAACCGACTCCACAGCACGTAACAGCGTCAACAACAGCCTATTTTCACACTGAAATTTCAGCCTCCAATTCTCTTATTATAGGAACTTTGATAATTTATACTATTCAAATGGTCTATTATGACAAATCTTAAACAGCAATAGTGACTAATAGAAATATTGGTTTAATGTCTATATCTTCATTGCTTATTTTTTATTGAAACTTCCAAATGGCATTCTTCTTTAGAACAGAGACAAGGATTATTTTTGAAGTTAGTCTTCTGAGAAACGTTGTCCATACCCTGGACACTGCCTGGATCCCTCTTGGTTATGAAGCCATTGATGAATTATCACTAGTGCTTACCGACAAATGCTCAAGAAATCCAATCTGTACTCATTTTAGTGAGAGTGAGGCTGTCTTTATTCGATTTTGCAAAATTGGGCACCCAATCTGGAGGACACAGGCAGAGACACACCCTGTAGCCAGCTTGCCAAGAATTTTATTCTAAGAAGGTCCCTCTTAGGGTTCCTCATTGACTGAGTACTATGGGGTTAACAAACTCGCCTGCAGCCTTATTGTCTGTATTCTCATTTAAAGTTCCTAGCCAGCCCAACAAGTTTCTTCACCATCCCCCCTGAGCTTCTATTGTTGCACTAGCCTGCAAATCCATGCACTCCCTTTCATTCCTGTGTCAAGTCTACAGCAATTTCCTAAACTGTCAAATAAGAGTGAACTGTAGGGGACTCTTTAAAGTTCACTCTTGGATTTATAATAATCTGTGACTAATTGCCTCTTGTAGTACAATCAAGATGAGAATAACTGAGTCATTCCTGAAGATGGACCATCTTGAGAATTATTTCTCACAGTCTCAGCAGATGGAATTGTTTCAAGATAGATCCAAAGATTGATCTTATCAGAGGAAATTTTTACTAAGTTGAGTGTTCTCTGGAAAAAAAGATGTGGGTATAAACTAACATAATAAATTAAGTGATGAAGAGAAGAACATCTGTTCTTAGCTGAGGAAACTTCCACCCAGAGACCTTTTGCAATGGCAGGAATAGAGTTCGAATCCAAGTCTCGACACTACCAATTTAGTGGTTTTTGCACTAAACTTCACTGCCTTTAGGACTGTAGCATTTACCTAGTTAGTTGGATTTTTGTCAGGAACTTGATCCAAGATTTTTTTCTTTTTTTAAATATATAAAGCATTTGAAAGTTCTTTCAAAGCCAGCACATAGCTTTATTTAACTCTCTCAACCCCTCCCACCTCTGTCAAGTTGCACCAGGAAATTCAAGCTCTAACCAGAGGTCCCCAAATAGTTAAAAATCCAAGCAGCTTGCAGAGTAGAGCAAAATGATGTCAAAAACAGATGTTTCTCAGCAGGCCTTGCTGGATTCATAAGTCAGGAGAAAACCAGCATGTATACATGCATGCATGCTTTAAAAAAGAAAAAGAAAAAAAAATCTTGGCCAGTACTGTGGAGAAATAATATGTTGTCTCCTCATCTGCAATTCCTCTCCAGTTTTTAAAGGATGCAAACCCTGCAGAAAGACTCCCCGGGGAGACTAGTGGCCCTGACACTTGAGCCATTAACTCAGAGCACCCTCTAATCCCTTGTTTTCATTGTTGGTGTTCTAGCCAAGCTGCCCGCACAGATCCTGCCCGTTTTCATTGGCTGCAGAGATTGTTATTGGAGTGGCTGACAGCTGTCTGCCAGGCTGTCTGAACCGGCCTTCCTGTGCTCTCTGCTGCTGCTCCACTTCACAGCACTATTGTTCCTGTTGAGCCTTTTTCTTAAAATCGCTCCCAGCTGTATCCTGATATGGTAAACCACTTAAATTAGCTCCAGATTGTTCTGTTTATTTTGTGTTAGATAAGCGATGGAATACAGTCCCAGCAGCAGGCCGGGAGGAGGGTGAGACAAGAAAGTGAGGGGACAGAGACCAAAGGACACCTGGCCTTTTATAACAACGCCACATAGAGGTCCCAGACCAAATGGTGAAAAAGCTCAAAGTGATGCAGTCACTATTTCTGATAAGAGCATGTGACCCTGATGGTTTGGCAGAGCAGTGTTGTTGGTTCTGAAGACACCTCATTCCAGGAAAGAAAACCAAGGTCTCGACATGAAGCAGCCATAAAAGGAAGATAAATTGCTCTTATCGGAAATAAATACAGTACCTCTGCCAGGCTGGCTGCTGTGCCAATTGTCCAGGTACCAAGATTGATACCTGGGTTGTGGCCAGATCCTTTTCTGATTATTTATGTCCTTCCATATTACAATCCATGGTAGCTGATGGGCTCAGAACTGGCTGCAGTTAACCAGTCTCCCAATGTGCTCAGCATTGGAAAAAGTTCTTTTCTCTGCTGTGATCGAAAGCTAGAAATCCAAAGGGGTTGAGTCACCAGCGTAGGTCTTTTTCACGCAACTGCAAGTAAAATTCACAATGGAGTTGGCCCCTATTTGCTTATGCATTCCAACCATGCAACTGTTCTAATCATGGCCTCTTTTCATTAAATGTCTTCTAGCAGGGGCTTTCTACAAGTCTTTCCTAGTAAGTACTTAGCAAAAAAGTGTCTTCAAATGTCTTAGAATGAAGACATTGCCTCTGTGATTGTAGGAATAAATGGAAACATAAATAAAACAGACAAGCAGTACCAGCAACCAGTTGTATTAAAATTACTGAGAATTTGTTGTTAAGTGCCATGGAGTCAGTTCCAACTAGCGACCCTTTATAGGGTTTCTGAGGAGTGGCTGGTGGGTTTGAACAGTTGACCTTGTGGTTCAAAGCCCAGTGCTGAGCCTACAGTGCCACACCAGGAGTTTCCCCGGGGAAATTTTTCATGACTCACTGTAGCATGTGACTAAGTGCTCCACTCCACATTTTGACTCTTGGAACCCCTTTCTGTGAAGTTGAGAACTGGGTCAGGAGTAATAAATTGCCCATAGAAACTGCCTTGTAGTTCTTTTTGGGAAATAAACTCATTGTATATTAAAAAGGTACAAAACCAATGTTAGGAGAATAGTTACCTTGACAAGTTGTCTTTTCTGGTGGCATGTACCTTCCCTTCTTCATCTGATGTTGTTATTTTTAAGTACCATCAAGTCAGTTCTGACTCATAGTGACCCTATATAGGGTTTCTGAGGAGCAGCTGGTAGATTTGAACCACCAATCTTGTAGTTCAAACTGGCCTTGCAGTCCAGTGCTTATCCTACAGCACCACAGCAGCATAACTTGGACTACCTCTCCTCTGCTTACCTAGCTTTCATCTGTATCTCCTTTACATGTATACCTCTTTATTGTGTACAGTCTTGTACTTTATTCATCGGTTGGTCTTATTCCCCTAGATGGCATATCCCTTGAGAGCAGGGACCATGTGTTGACCCTCTGTTACCTTTCCCCACAGCATGG